GGAGGTTCACCAAAACTATCTGCCGGTAGGGATGTCTCTACCGGTGATGAATTACCTGGGATAGATACTCATTGGGTTGCCGCCCTATGTCTACTTCGAGGGCTCACCTCACCAGCTCCGCGGTCAGGGCCGTGCTTCTGGTCCCCATGGATCAGGGGGGACGGTGGACAGTCCCCTAGCGACCCCTCAGTGGCTAATCCACCGAAGTCCGCTGTTCTCGTCTTCCTGGGGGAGAAAGACAGAGCGTTTGCACCCTGATCCAAGCATACCCCCAAAGACTCCACGTCCTTATCTGGAAAATCATCCGCAGCTGCGGATGGTTTGCCCATGGACGGATTGCTACATCCGTCCCTTAGGGTCAATGAGCCCGAAAGCTCTGAGCCCGAAGGCTCGGTGTTTGGTTTTTCAAAAATTGGATCTTTCATACTGGTCTCACGAGTGCGGCAGGAAGTGGTCGTCGATTCCGGGTAGAGACCCGCATTACCCGGGATAAGGCTAGCGTGCCCCCGTGGTGCGCCAGGTCCGCACTGATGAGGGTCTACTAGCGACAGGTCTCGCACCTGCTATTCATTCCCTAAGCGTGGAGCTCCCCACCGTAGAATTACGGAGTGTTTTATAGAGGACCCGCCTCACGGTCCAGCCAATTAAGGCAAGACCCCCGGCCCCAGAGACATGACCTAGGGTTACGGTGTAGTAGGCCAGGGTATGCCGGAGTTCGCCTGAATCCCCCGTACCAGGATACCGAAACACCCTGGCCCCTGACGCCATCGAGTGATAGCTGTTCCACGTACTGCGAACCAAACAAAGATCCGAAACAAAGACCCGAAGAGGAAAATAATTTCCTCTCTTTCTTCTATTTTTCTTTTTAAATAATATTAAATAATTGCCATTATATTTCGCAAATAACTCTTCAAATATTATTGTCAAACCGCCTATCTTAATGTATATACGCTTTAGAATCGTAAGAGAATCTATTCATATTATTTAACTTTAACAATTACTACGCCCGAATGGAATAGTTTTTAAATATTCAAAATTTCCAAAATCTTTCGCTGAGCCTCTTGTCAACCGATTGCCAAAAGGTCTTGAGTCTGGAATCAGTAAGGTCGGTATTAAAGATTATTGTTCTTGGAACTCCGTCTGCAAATGCTAAGACGTAAAATCCAAATCATTAAAAGTCGAACGAGCTTTTTTTTTGCTTACTCAGGAAAAACCCCTTATGGGTACACCCGGACCCTGGGGGGCTCCAGGGGTTATGTGGGATTCGAACCCACTAAAACTCCTAGGGGACACCGTCCGGAGGATGCTTTGCGGCGAAAGACAGAATACTTCTGTACTGCTTCGCCAGACCGCTGCACCTTATGACCCGTCGAAAGGGGCCCCTCTGAGACTGATGAATGGTTTCGGTTCAAAGACGCGTCGTTTTATCGTCGCGGTATTGCCAGAGAGATGGCAAAAATGTGTAGCTATCGAGGGACGATACTTTGAATAAATTATTTTTTGTATTTCTCTTGAAATTTTCCATTTTTCATTGATCAAAAAAACCCGGAAACTTAGTTGCGCACCTAGTACTATTATTTCAAAATCTTCATTAATTTCGGCGTCTATTAATTGTATCTTTTCCATACATTCCATCGCTGCCATCTTTCTACTGCGAATGCCTTACCTCGTCAGCCGCAGTAACGAAAACAGGAAATGACGACAAAATCTATGATGTTACATGCTTTCACGGGCTCATCGAAAGTTGACTGCTGTATTCTGGAACGTGCTCACAGCACTGTCAGTACTGGCAGTGAATATCGGAACGCAGTCATATAAGGTTTGTCACAAGTTCTAACGTACGGTCGCGGACATAATAGTGTATGCCCGTTTCTTTGCAACTTACGGAACGCATCCCGACTCCAGAAGAAAGAGAGTCACTGCTGCGCCTGTGGAGCACGCCTGCACAGTGACCCATAACGAAAGGCGAGAAATGAAATATACGCGGTAGGACATATTATAATAATAAGCAGCTGTTATATAACAGCTGCTTCTACAGGGTTTGTCGAAAGTGTGGAAGCCCTTAAATAATTTTTGTAAAAACACGTATTTTGATTCTTCAAAAAAAGCTACCTTATGACATGGATACTGATCATTCCCCATCCCCTGGTACGCGAGGGTAAAAGGGGGTTGAAAATTTTAAATTGGACTAAGGGTCGAGTGGGGGCTCATTTGAAAGGTCTTTTCATAATAAACACACCCTTAAAATTTTAAGTCGCTACGACCCCCCCATTAAAAATAGCGGCCGTTCAAATTTCGAAATTTCATGCACCTAGTGTTATCCAGGATCAACTGCGTGGAAATGGCATGAATCTGATCCCTTGTGTGTGTGTGTGTGTGTGTGTGTGCGCGTGCGTATGTGTGTGCGTGCGTGTGGCTAAACAAGTGTGAATGTGTTGTATGTATAGTCGTGATAGGTTGCAAAACAGATGATTGAAAATTGTCATCTCTCTTTAATGATTCAAAACCTTTTACTCCGTGTTTTAAATAAATTTTACTCAGTGTATTAAAGTAAATACTGAAAGTGGCTGCCATTTACTTCCTGACAATATGCCAATCTTTGATAGAATGCAAAAATGACTCTACGATTCGTCTCAAAAGGTATCAAATCTATTTCATCCCTTATTCGCTGTATCAATTCTTGGATGCTTTCAAGTTTTGTTTTGTAAACCTTACTCTTCAGGTGTCCCCATAGATAATAATCAAGAGGAGTTAGATCTGGTGACCGAGGTGGCCAATTCTCTCCTCCTTCATTTCTGTTCCTTCTTCCTATCCATCGTAATGGAAAAGTCTCATTTAAAATTTGACGTGGCCCTAAACCAAAATAAGCTCCATCATACTGAAACCATATTTCTTCGAAATTATTTGGAAAAATATTTCGTATGGCTGGTGTTCGAGGTCATAGCGTGCACAACGGTTTTCTGGAAGAATTTAAATATTCTTCTAGCTTCGACCTCACGAAGCTTGCACGTGATCCATGCGTGCTCGACTAGCGGAGATCTCGTCGCCGAACGTTGGGCCACGGGATCCCCGGCGAGGAACGCTCGAAACAATGTTTATTGCCGCGTATTTGCTGTGTATGTCGGGAAGACCCCGAGCATGCGATCACGGCGTGTTACGGCCAACGAATTACAGCCAATCCTTATCTGCCAGCTTAAGCTGAAAAAAGGATATAATTGAGACCGAGATTTCATTTCTCTCTCTGCGCTTTTGGGCTTTCTACCGAGCGGCCTTTTACTTCCGATTGTAACAGGCGAGTGCGATCTTCACTGAATTTTCGGTTAATACTATCGGTGTTATTACTTCATCGTGGCTGCATTCGTTGCACTCGGTTGCGATTTCGTGAAGTGACTCTCTGGTCTTCGTGCCTGGGCTGCACGTCACTCTCCGATGCTCGATCGTACACCGATACATCGAGCACTCAACACGTTTAACGTGCATTACTTTTTGTGTCTTGTATTGTACGATTTATAATCATATCCATTTTACGTGCGCCATCGGCGAACGTCGCGTCCGCGAGCGCCGCTTGTTGCGAGACACTTTAAATCCGCCGGTCTACAGCGATTTCCGTCGATCGGACGTTAAGTCAGACGCTTTCGAAGATCTGCGTCCGCGTCTTACAAACAGAACAAGGCGCCTCAAGATTTTCGCTCGATCGCTCGATTGTTCGCCGCCGTGTGCAGTTGTTTCGGTATATATAAGAATAAACTTATTTTTTGTGTCGTCATACTCGCTCGGCTTCTCTGCACTCCTATTCCTATAGCGATTCAGATTGCATATTGGCGCCCTTTGCGCACAGCGCTGTGCGATACAGCGCGATCGCCGTCGGCTAAACCCGACGGGAACAGCTGGAATTATTTGCTCTACAAGTAATCTGTCATACCTTTGAGCGTTCAGATTTTCTTAAAAAAAACGGTCCTATTAAGTAGCCATCTATTATTCCACACCATACATTTATTTTTTGTGGGTATTGTGTGAGTTTCCTGCACCCAATTCGGATCCTCATCTGACCAGAAACGAAAATTTTTATTATTAACTTCTCCCGTTAACGTGAAAGTTGCCTCGTCTGTAAAACAATTTGATAAGGGAACATGGGCCGGACATGTATTAGTGCCATCATTCTTTCACAGAAACCTATACGACGCTCCACATCTCCGTCTTGCAATTCTTGAACATATTGTAATTTGTATGGATGGAACTTGCTTTTCTTTAAAATTCTCCAAACGGACTTGGGAGTGACTATATCGTGAGTTTGAGCGGCTCTGTTAATAGTGGGACCTTCAATAAATGTCTGCAGAACATCAAGTTGTTTTTTCTTCGTTAATGGCAGGTCTCCCTGATTTAGGGCGATTGTTTACGCTACCAGATTCTCTGAAACGTTCCATTGTTTTTAAGACAGTGGACTTATTAATTCAACGAATCGGATACGTCTCATTAAATAATTGAGCGACAGCAGCGTACGACTGCTCGTTATCATCCTATCCACGCACCATGAGGATAGTGATTCTTTCACGTTCCGACAATTCAGCCATTTTTAAAACGTTTAATTTTTAATCTGCCTAAGATCTGTGAGAACTAATTTTGAGTAGCCGTAAGAACAACTAATTTTAAGTAGCAGTGAGAACAACTGATTTTAAATAGTCGGTTGATCCTGTATAACACTAAGTGCATGAAATTTCGAAATTTGAACGGCCGCCATTTTTAATCGGGAGGTCGTAGCAACTTAAAATTTTAAGATTGTTATGAAAAGACCTTTCAAATGAGCCCCCACTCGACCCTTACTCCAATTTAAAATTTTCAACCCCCCTTTTACCCCCGTGTATCAGGGGGTGGGGAATGATCGGTATCCATGTCATAAGGTAGCCTTTTTGAAAAATCAAAATACATGTTCTACCATTTTTTGATATTTTCATGTTTATAAAAATTATTTAAGGGTTTCCACACTTTTGACAAATCCTGTATATCTAATATCATTGCTTCTGCTATAGAAGATGGCTGTTGCTGAAACAATAAATCACATATAATTGTACAATAGAATCATAATTATCGTAATGCAGCTTAATTCTCTTAATTAAGTTCGTATTGTTTTAAAAACATAAACATGTTTATTTATCTCTACCTTTTTCGGATGTCCTCCGGAGTATAAGACTTACATCGGATAATTTTTGTTTGTTCTCTGTTCCCTCATTTCCATTTAATGCTGGAGTATTCATTTCATCTGAGTCTGTATTATTATAATATGTCCCACCGTGTATATTTCATTTCTCACCTTTCGTTGTGAGTCACTGCGCAGGCATGATCCGGAGGCGGAACAGTGACCCTCATTCTTCTCGAATCGGGATGCGTTCCGAAAGTTGCAAGAAACGGGCACATACTATTATGTCCGCAACCGTACAGCAGGGAACATTTGGATCACGGATAAAATGGTTGTTAGAGATGATGAGTTGATATGCATCAATGCTCAGTGACACGAATGGATTTGAGCAGTTTTTCCTCTTTTAGGGCCAGACTTCTGCATAACGCATATTACACAACGCATAAGAGAATCAACAAATCAGAGTTCTTCATTTATTTTTTTCATTTTTTTGGTCACGCAGGGGAAATCCTCATTGATACCCCCGCCCTTTTGCGGAGGGTAGGGATTATGTCAGACTTCTACCGACTAAAACCCCTGCGGGGTGCCTACCGCTCGGACCGCGGTGGGGGCAGTCAGGGAAACTACGCCCCCATTCCCTCCCGACACCCCGGCCCCAGGGCCCTCATAGAGCTCCACGCCCAAGTACCGCGCCCCTCCCAGATTGGGAGTTAAGGGCGCGGTGCCCCGGCCGGTTGTCCGGCCGGGTTGGCCTTCCGGTGTTAATTAGGAGGGAGAGGGCACCCGCCCTCCCTCCTCGCCCCCGCCTTCCCCCTTCCCTACTGGTTGGGTAGGGGGGCAGGGGAGTGAGGCTCGGCCCCAACCGGTCCTTGCTCCCCTTCTCCCTTCTATCACCGACGCCCGGAGTGGGCTAGAGGACTTACCCCCTCTCCAACCCACTCCCATCGGTACGTCAAAGGCGAGCCCGAGGCGGCTGAAGAGGCGGCCTCCGGCGAGCCGGTGGCCTCTTCTTCTCAGCCGGCGCCACTACGGGCCCGCTCCCCACTCCTGAGGAACGCCGCCTCCTCCGTTGCTCCCTGCGACGGGATGGTCGGCGCTCCCACTCGACAGCCTCCTTGCGGGACAAGGACCGACCGCATGGCTTGGCGCAGAAGCGCCTTGCCGCGGCCGGAGGCCATTAGCCGAGGCGTCCATATCGCCGCCCCGTAAAGGGCGATCGAGAGCACCACACCGACGTATAGGCGGCGAGTGTGCCCTGGGTCTTCATCAGCCCGGCTAGCGCTAGGCCTGCCTTTCGGACCCGGCGGGCCAAGGCCTTGAAGTGAGCCCCGAAGTCCCACCGGCCGTCGAACGTCAGTCCCAGATACTTGATCGTGAGCCCAACGCGGACGCGGATTCCATCCACCGAGACCTAAGTCTCCGGCGGCGCCCCGCGGCGGTCGTTATGGAAGAAGACAGCCTCCATCTTCAGGGGTGCCACCTTGAGTCCCATTTCCGCGATTGTGCCCACCGCGGAATGCAGTGCCACCTCCGTTCGGAGGTGGGCTTCTCCCCAGTCCCTCCTCCCGGCTACCACTAACGTGTCATCCGCATAGCAGATGACGTGGCAGCCGGAGGGAAGGGGAGAACGCAGCACCTGGTCAAACGTGATGTCCCATAGCAGGGAACCGAGGACTGACCTCTGCGGGACACCACGCTCCATGCCGCGCTGATCCTGGACCCCGCCCCTCCCAAAGTAGGCGAGATCCTTGTCCCTAAAATAGGCCGACAGGATGCGTCGAAGATAGGCGGGCACCCCGTGATATTCGAGGGCTCGTCCGATCTCCGGCCAGGGCATAGTGTTGAAGGCGTTGGTAATATCCAGGGACACCGTCAACAACACTTCGCCCTTCCTCTCTACGACCACTCGGGCCAGGTCCTGGAGATTCTAGATTGCATCCAGTGTGGACCGTCCGGGCCTGTACCCGTATTGGTGGTCGTTGAGGTTCGGCCCCTCCAGGGACAGATGCTGGACGAGGCGGTCGACAATGATGCGTTCGAGCATCTTGCCCGCCTCGTCCGGTAGGCATATCGGTCTAAAGGTCCGTGCGCGACCGGACACCTTGCTGTCCTTCGGGAGGAGGACCAACTTGGCCCTCTTCTACTCTGGGGAGAATACCCCCTCCCTGAGGCACCCGTTGATAGTGTTTCGTGTGGCTGCGGACACGCTCCTTTTGCCGAGCGCGGGAGTCCAAAAGCGGCCAGGAATGCCATCGGGGCCAGGCGCTTTGCCTTTGGCCCGAGTCTCCTCCTGGCCATGGCAAACTCCTCCGAAGAGACCTCCAGGCTCTCATCCTAGCCCTCTCCCTTATCTCTGGAGCAGGGATTTGGGAGGATTTTTAAGGTATATATATTTTTTATCATGCAGGGGAAATCCATCATGGATACCCCCAACCCTTGGGGGGTCGGGGGTTATGTCGGACCCCTACCGGCTAAAACCCCTGCGGGGTGTCTACCTTTCGGACCGTGGTGGGGAGAGTCAGGGGAACCACTCCCGTATTCTCTCCCCGACACCCCGACCTCAGCGCTCAAACCAAGAGCCCCTCTTTGTACCGCGTCCCCTCCCACAAAGGGAGTCGGGGGCGCGGTCCCCGACCGGTTGCCCGGTTGGGTTGGCCTTCTGGTTACACTTACTGGAGGGAGGGAACACCCATCTTCCCCCGCGCCCCCCTTGTTCGTCAAAGTGGGCGGGGGAGTGGAGCCTGGTCCCAACCAGGCTTCCACTCCCCCTTCGCCATACCCCTACCGATGCCAGGGGGAGGCGAGTGTATGGGCTTCACTCAACCGTCACCCTTCCCCCCGCGCGTCCGAAGGCGGGCCCGAGGCGGCGAGCCGGTAGCCGCTCCTCCTCGGCAGGCGCCATCTCAAGCCCGCTGCCCATACCGGGGGAGCGCCGCCTCCGCCGCCGCCGCTCTCTGCGGCCGCGGATGCCGGGGTGGCGCTCCCATGCGGCGGCCTCCTTCCGCAACATCAGGTCGCGGCAGAAGGAGGCCGCCGCCCTCCATGCCTCCTCGCTCCCGCACATGGCGCGAGTCATGCGCGGTAGCGAGAGGTCCTCCACGCGGCACTGCACCGCCCGGGCCAGGACACGGCGCTGCTGGATCCACGCAGGGTATAGAGCCAGCGTATTATGCGCCGTGTACACAGGCTCCGAGCAGTGATGACAGCCGGCGGTGTCATCCCTATCTGGCGCAGGTACTTTCCGAAACATTCGTGCCCGGTCAGCACCTGCGCCAGATGGAAGTTGAGTCCCCGAACCCTCCTGTCTGCCACTTCGGGCAGACAGGGACGAACGGCCTCGGCCGTTCGGAATCCGGGTCCCCGGGGGTCGGACAATATGTCCGACCACTGTTCCAGTACCCGGGCTCTGGCCTGTGACTTCAGGGCCGCCAGGCCTCTGGCCGTTGGATCCTCCCCTCCTTCGTGGAGCTCCTTCACCCTCCAATAGAGAATATATCTGTCATGGGCGAGGAGCTCGACAGGGGGGAGCCGGCAGGGCGGTCGCCGCCATGTACGACATGGTGCCGTACCCCCGAATCGCCTTCACTACAACAGCCCGCATCGCATGCCGCAGCAGACTTTTGCTGCTGCGGCTGGCCAGGAGCTGGGGCGCCTATATGGGCGCCCCGTAGAGGACGATCGGGAGCACGACATCAACGTACAGGCGGCGAGCCCTCCATCCTGGGCCCCCTGGGTCCTCATCAGGTTGGCCAGAGCCAAACCTGTTTTGCGGACCCGGGGGGTCAGATGTTTGAAGTGCGACCCAAAGTCCCACAGGCAGTCCAACGTCAGGCTGAGATATTTTATCGTTGGCCCGACGCGGACGGGGACTTCATCCACCAGGACCTGAGATTTCGGCGGCGCCCCACGACTTCTGTCGTGGAAGAAGACTGCTTCCGTCTTCTGGGGCGCCACCTTCAATCCCAGGCTCGTGATGGTGCCCACTACCGTCTTTTAAGGTATATATATTTTTTTGTTAACGCAGGGGAAATGCATCATGGATACCCCCGATCCTTTGGGGGGGGGGGTTGGGGGTTATATCAGACTCTTACTGACTAAAACCCCTGCGAGATGTCTACCATTCGGACCGTAGTGAGGGGAGTTAGGGAACTGCTCCCGCATTCCCTGCCCAATACCCTGGCCTCAGGGCTCTCCGGGAGACCCTCGCCTCGAGTACCGCGCCTTGTCCCACAAAGTGAGTCCAGGGCTCGGTCCCCCGATCGGTTTCCCGGCCGGGATGGCCTTCTGGTATTTACTTGGAAGGAGGGGACATCCACCCTCCCTCCGCGCCCTTCTCATTGCTCCCCTCTAGAGGAGGGGGGCGGGGGAGTGGAGCCCAGCCCTAAACCGGGCTTCCACTCCTCTTTCGCCTACCCTATCCGACGCCTAGAGGAGAGGCGAGTAGGTACCACACACGCGTCACCCCCTCCCCCCGCGTGTCCGAAGGCGGGCCCGAGGTGGCCGAGGAGGCGAACTCCGGCGAGCCGGTGGCCTGTCCTCCTCCTAGGCCTGCGCCCTTTCGGGCCCGCTGCCCATACCCGGAGAACACCGCCTTCTCCACCGCTGTCTGTGGTGGTCTCCGGGGCGACGCTCCCATTCGGCGGCCTCCTTCCGCGACATTACATCGCGACAGAAGGAGGCCGCCGTTCCCCTCACCTCCTCGCTCCCCGCACCCTACCGCCCGGGCGAGGACACCGCGCCCCTGGCTCCATTCCTCGCATTCGGCCAGGGTATGGTGCACGGTGTCGTGTCGCTCTGGGTAGTGGTGGCACTCGGTGGTGGATTCCTTCTTGATCCGGTGCAAGTAATGACCAAAACAGCCGTGTCCGGTCATTACCTGCACCAGATGATATGTCAGTCTGCGACCTCTCCTGCCTTGCATTTCCGCAAGGCAGGGGCGGACAGCCTCCATCGTCAGTCGCCCAAACTCCCGTGGGGTGAACATCACGTCCGCCCACCTTTCGAAAGTTCGGGTGATCGCCTGGGATCTCAGAGCCGCCATATCCCTGACCGATGTTGCCTCCGC